ATTTTAATACCGGATTTATATTTTATAATATAAATATACAACCCGATATTATGTAAAATTAATAAAAAAAATATTTAAGAAAATCACAAATTTTTTAAAGTATTTTTTGATTTTTTTTATAATTTTATAATTTTTTTGTTTTTTTAAAAAATAAAATATATAATATAATATTATATATATTAATTAAATATTATTAAAAATGTGGGTCCGCCCGGCCCAGATAACTGGGTTAGGCAATAAGCCCAAGAAACAATGGTTGGGCCGAACTTGCCCCAACATATTTTTGTTCTCTTTTTTTTTTGGGTCGGGCCATACTAGTTGATTGGGCTGAGCCATAACTGATTTGGCCCAAATGCCATGCTAATTATTCTAAAAAACGTGAACACTTACTGCTCACGTTGTGCATGCAAACAAACGGTTACAGAAATTATAGACAGGCTAAAGAGAAAGCTACCAGTGTCTGTGGTTATGGTCACGATTAAGTGGTTCTGTTGATGGTCTGGCCAACATTTCTTTGAAGAATGGTGATTGGTGTCGTTCAAGAGGAGAAGAGAAAGATTTCTACAGAGGTGAGAGAGAGGAAACAACGGTGGCTGTTTCAGGCGTGGGACTGGTCGGCTTATGGTTGGACTAGCTACTTATGGTGGATATGGTGGTAAATAAGCTAGTGGTGGCTCTGGTTTGTGGCTGGAACGATGGAGAAAGAGAGGGAAAGAAAAAAACTACAAATACGGGGGTAGAAAGGCTAGTTTTTGGGAAAATTTGGATCCCATTTTCTCCTCTTTTAGGCCATCAACTTCGCCTTTATTTATAGCCAGTGAAAGAGGGTAATCTCGTCTACAGAAGAAGAAAAAAATCTAGTCTTTGATTCAGTTGGAAAGCATCTCAATCATTGGCTCAAAAAGTGACTCATGAGTTGTTTAATTGATTAGTACTTAAAAGTGTATTTTTATCGTGATTTTATATCAACATTTTGCACTTGAAGTATCAATAACTCCTTAATTAAAGCATGTTTTATAATAATATATCTAATCATATAATATTCCTTTAATTTATGGTAAATATTCATTTTAAATGCAGGTCTATCACATAAATGAAACGATTGATTGATGACTTTAAGAACTTAAATTACAAGGGCAAAGAGATGACCAAAATTAGAAAAGAGATGTCGATACAATCCAAACTGAAACATTATTCGGTAATTGGGTCATATATGGAACTATAGATCTTAGATTTAGATTTACTTTATATGGATGGAAAGGTAAGATATAGACCTACAACTTTCATATCGAGCCCAAGATCTAAAAAGGTCATTTTCAAGTCCAAATTGTAGCAACAATAAAGAAGCTCGAATCTGTCCTTCAGCCCAAGCACTGTTCAGTATTTTGGTCATATCTAGAGTTCTAGAAGTCCAAATAAG